TTTTTTTTTTTTTTTTTTCCCCCCCATAATTGGGCTGCACATAATTCATAAGGCCAGCAAATCATATGCATGTGTTTTATCTGAGAATTAGGTAATCATGCAATTAGAAACTAATAGTGTATGCAGGTGGGGCAGCCGAAGTTAACCATGAACATACAGAATGTTTGCACCGATTCTGATTTTTAATGCTCCGTTACTCTTACATTAACATACAGTTGATAACTGGCTGGACAGAAATAACAAAGTTTATATTTCAGAAACAAAACAAGAGCCCAGGCAAAAGTAGCCCTGGCCTCCTGGATCCCTCTGGATCATTTTGAAACTTCTTTTATGTGGAAAACTCCCTTTCTTACCAAACAGAAACATATAAATATTTCATCTCAACATTTCTTTCAGGAAGAAAGAGCTATTTCAACAATGCCATTTTTGTGCTATCGACATGACTTCCTCAGAGCCCTAAATAAAATGCATTTCTGTTGCTGTTTATTATTTGGGAAACACACTTCATCCAGAAAAGCCAACAGCCACAGTGCATCCATGGACTGCAACAGCAGAAGCAAAAAAACCCCTCTCCATAAATAAGGGCTTAAACAAGAACAGAGAGTTTTCTCAAAAACGGAAATTCTTCTCAGGTGACAGCACTGCTATACCATATTCTAACAAAATTTTTCTGGATCAAACACCATGTTAGCTCAATATTTTGTCCTACAGACAGATGCAAAGGAATCTAAAAGTTTTCTTTGAAATGTCTTTATTGTTTTTAATTGCTTTTTGGTAATACAGCAGACTCAATGGGTTTCTTTTTTTAAAATTTCATTTTGGTTATTATTATATTAGTGTACAGTATTTTATTCTAATTAACATATGTTCCTTATTATATAACTACAATTAACATATAATATGCCTTAAAATTCCTCTTAAATATCCAGTGTATCATTTGCCATCCATGAACGCCTTCTTTTTGTCGGCTTCACTATGAATTCCTTCCACAGCTATTTGACACTTCAGAAGAAGGGGACCCTACTCTTGAGCAGAAATTTGTAACATCAGTAATTAATAAAGGATGCCTATGCCAGCACCAAAAAAAGGCAAGTGCTTTAAAGTGTAAGCTGATGGGCTTTTCACATCCAGGAAAACCTCCCTGACATTTTTTTCATAAAACAGTTTCCTGATGTGTCTCAAGTCGACACTTAGGTTGCCCAAGGAAGCTGTGGATGCCCCCTCCCTGGAAGTGTTCAAGGCCAGGCTGGATGAGGCTTTGAGCAACCTGATCTAGTGGAAGGTGTCCCTGCTGATGGCAGGGGGGTTGGAACTAGATGATCTTTAAGGTCCCTTCCAATCCTAACCATTCTATGATCTATGATACACTGTGATGCAGGCTGGCAGCGCAGAATAGCAACGGAATCCATTAAATCTCTGTCAGGAGCCAGTTATCAGAAACGTTACATAGTAATTATGGCAAGGATTTGCTGTGAAATAAATTCTGATTTTTCAAATGAGGTTCTGAAAAATCACCCACTAACATTTCTGCAGAAACACTTTACAGTTTGTCCAAATTGTAGGGGACAGCTCATCTTTCCCCACAAAAGCTTACAGAGCTTGTACTTCACTGAGTTACCACTTGTTCTAATGACTGTTTGAGGGAATGGTTTGGCATCAGTAAGAGATTAGTTTGCATATTAATATAATTCAAAACTTCACTCAATTTACAAACAGTAAGGAAAAGCTTAATTTGAACTCTCAACAATTCCACTTCCCCCCTGTCTCAAGTTCATAACACCGATTTCATGGAGTTTTTGGAAGGTTGCTTCAGAGCACAAAAAAAGAGATTATGCCGATGAGAGAAACACGTTTTCAACTCACATCAAGGCTTCACTAATGAGCCCCGCACGTCCCACATCCGGAGGTGTAATGTACAGGGCTGCCTGCGTTCCTGTGACAAGAGCTCTCTGCTTGAGCAACACTGCAGAGCCTCTGCTCAAACACGTCCTTGGAGCAGGCAAGAGACCATGATGGGGCCAGGGAGGGCTGCCAACAGCAGGGACACAGCTGAATGGCAACATCTGGCCATCTGAGATGTCTGATGACCAGTTCTCTGTTTGAAAGAAGAGAGACTAAAGAATAAAAATGAATACAAAGCACAGGACATCAAAATCTTAATAAAAGCAGCCACTGACCCTGCTACAGACTTGTCTGAGTGAGAGTGGACTGCACGACGTGCTCATGAAATCAGCTCTTTCAGCATAAGGCCGCACCTGATAATAAACTGATTTCTCAAGGCAGCAAGGTTTCCAAAAGCGGGCATGAGGATCATTTTTTGTCAACCATGAATATTTAGCTAGTCAGGCAATGCTCACCCTGTCATTGCTTTAGTTGCCTAAAACCCCCTGAACATTCCTAATACTGCCATTCCAATTAAGAAATCTGCATTTGCTGAATTGCTAGAGAGATCATAATTAAACTCCCAGTTGCAGAGAAGCTTGCCAAGAAGGGGAAGGAGACAATTCAGAAGATAGGAACCTAGTGGGATGTTGTTCACTGAGGCAAAAAAGCATGAGGCACTAACAGAAGTCTATTCAATGGGAGGAAAAATAACTGGTCCTTGTTAAAACCCTTCTCTCACCTGAAAACAAAAAGGCTCAGAAACTCAGAACTGAGTAAAGAAAAAACAAACACGACACAAAACTAGTCCCTCTTCCTCCTGAAGGCAGATTTTTCAGATGGCAAAATACATTTTCTATTAAAAAAAAAAGGGCAGCATCTAAATATGTTGTATGCAAGCTTTCATTTGTGACACCGAAAATTCTCTGTGACTTCTCAGCACACGGAGGCTGTGCTGCTCATGCACAAGTGCAATAAAATACCAAGTTTTTCACCATTCTTTGCTGTGGTTTGTCAGGTCGCTGCTCTGTTAACATGAGCCAACCCAGACACCGTCTGTCACAGTAGCCTTTTTTCAAATTACATGGTATTTAGTAGGCAAAAAGTGTCACACTTGCAAACAAGTTGCCAGTGTCTCGTATAAAATTATGTTCATATTTAGATACTTTCAGTAACTCCTCAAAAAGGATCCCAAACATTACTAGAGAGAAAAAGGATGAAAGTACAAGTCTAATTTTAAATAAGTAACACAAGTCTCCCTTCAGCTGCTCTGCACACACACAGAAAAGCTAAAGAACTCTAAG